GACACTCCAGCTCAGAGGATATCCCATAGGCAGAAGTGAAGGAGGGAGCACCACAGTAAACTTCTTGATGACATTACAGACGTGTCTGCATGCTGAGCAGAGACTGGCTTTCTGCCTATAGGGTCAGGCAGGAAGAGACAGCATCTATTCTAAGGGCTCTTCAGCAGTCTTCTGAGGTTGGGGAGGAGCAGGTGACATCCTGGGTGTCTGATGCAGTAATGACAACTGTCACGAAAACATTGCGACACTCGGGATTCCTCAGTCAAAATAACACCAATTCATGATCTCCTGGTCAAACTCTTAAATCTCTGGATTTTCCCAGCTGGCAAGTCTATGGAGGGGAAGGGGCAGGGGCAGGGGGAGATCAAGGCCCCCATGGTGAGAGAAGGAGTGAGGCAGAAGCAGGGGCTGGGGTGAATGGGGTCCTGGGGCCGGGGAGGGTCATTCAGAGACATGGGGGAGATGTGCACCCCTGGGGGCGGCATGAAGGCATGTGCCCCCCACAGGGCAGAGGCAGGGTGCCCACTGCAGGCTTGGGTCTCTGTGCCCTGCTGCCTTTGCCCCAGGAGCTCAGCCTTGCAATGCCAGTGTACTTCCAGCCACCATGTGGGCAGGGGATGCCATTAGGGTAGCTTGCTATGTTTAATGCTTTAAAGTTGCTTATAGTATTGTTTATATATTATCCTTATTTAGTCATTGCTTAAGTTTTGTCCTTATTAACCTTTTGTTTTTTATTATTAGCTGGCTTTGAGTTGTTTTTGTAAAGCTCATAAGTGCTCATTATAGTATATATTTTCTTTTGTATCACTGTGAGAAGTTCTTTTAACATAACTTAGCAATGGCCACGTTACTAGCTCCAATTAACTAAGCTTGGCACTAACCATCTGAACCAGAGGGATGAAAGAATTGGATATATTAATGAAAGGTGGTAAGGAAGACCAATGGATAATGCCCAAAGTAAGACGCCAGAAAAAGGCCAAATTAAGAGGAGTGCTTGTAATGGATCTGTTAATCAAAAGAATATACTGTCAGGATAAAAGACGGGCAGTATGCTGACTGCAGAGAGACCAAGCTGAAAGCAAGGAGTCATCAAAGAAGTGAAGTTGAAGAAAAGCATAAAAGCAGGGAGCAAGAAAGTTCGTTGTCATCAATCCAGCCTTCAACACCTGTCTGAACTGTTCCAGCCCATGACATACCCTTTGCTTCCAGGAATAGAGTGGCCGTCTTTTCTGTTGAGCAAAGTAACATCTGGGATTGGGTGAGATTATTGTACTGAATGTTTTTCTGTCTCTGAATATAAAAACTACTAAGATAATACTTGTTATATTAATAAAGTTAGACTTTGATTTTGGGATGCTGAGTTGTCCAAGCTGTTAGATGTTAAGACACTGAGTTGTCTGCACTTAAGTGAAACTTTCATTTTAGGATACAGAGTTGTCTTCATTCGTATTTCACATTCCATTTAAGCATCCCCTGCTCGCCCAGTGGATGGCAACGACGTTGCATGGCTGAGCAAAGGCAGCAGGGTGCAGAGCCCTGAGCCCAGAGCAGGCAGCCTGCCTCTGGCCTACAGGGGGCACATGCCCCCCATGCCTCCCCTAGGGATGCACACAGCTGTGGGGAGCAGCACCCCTCCCACACCTCTGGATGACCTGCCCTGGCCCCAGGGCCCCATTCACCCTAGCCTCAGCTCCTGCCCCACTCCCTCCCTCACCATGGGGACCTCGATCTGCCCCCGCCCCCTCCTCTCCACTTACCAGCTGGGTGCAGTCTGTGTGTCTCTGTGTGTCTGCTCCTCACTCTCAAGCTACAATCCCCCCAGCCCTGATGCTGCCTATCACTCCTGCCAGGGGGTGTAGGGACCCTTCCTCCCTGGGCTCCAATCCCTCCCACACACCCACAGCCCCCCACAACTTCACAAATAACCCCCCCCCCCCACACACACAGACATTTCAAAAATAGCATCTTATGTTTATATGCCAATCTCTTGATTTTTTAAGAGTTCGTTTCATGATTTTTGTCACAATGAGGTTGGCAATACTGCTGATGCTGTAGATGCATGAAAGTCCTTTCTGGCCAATGTGGCCACTGCTGCCAATAGGAAAGCCACAGTTCTAGAGAGGGCAACTGTTGCCATGGCCACAGCTTTGGAGAAGGCAGCTAATGCTGTGGCCACAGCATCTACTGCTGCGGCCACAGCTATAGAAAGGGCAGCTTCCACTGCAGAGGAATACTACCACATCCAGGCAGCGAGGCTGGTCTAGCACCCTCCCTCTGACCACAGACATTAGCCCCGATTTCCAGCTGACTTCAGCTACCATGGGGATTGGCCATGTGCCCCCTGTTTCCACACTTTTATCCCTGCCTGGCAATTGCCACTAGGTGGTCACTGGGACTATAGGGATACTCCTTGGGCACATTGCAGACAGTATGACCCCCATGATACTATCATGCCCCAGGGGGACAGGATGGCAAACAGGGAGAGTGGCACATCCAAAAGGGACAGCCTTTCCCTTCCCTGGAGGGGCAAGGAACACCACCAGCATCCTAGATGTCTGCACCCCAGCAGGGAGGGAGCATTGTCAAAAGACAGATGATAAGCTTTGATGATGACCTGACTCAGCTCCCCACCAGTGGAGTCAGAGCACCCAGCCATGCAGATGCACCTCTTAAATTCCAAAGAGCCCCCCATGTCATGCTGGAGTAAGGCACGGCCAATGTGCCACAATGCTCCGAGGCACCAGGGGAAATAGCAGGCAGCTCCCTGTCTGCCATGGTTTTGTTCTGCAGTTTGCACCATGTTCTGCTGTTTGTACCACTTTGCCGTTGGTACTACTATATAGCTTGCAGCTTGCACGTACACAGGTTTATGTTTACTGGGAAGCAAACAAAGTTTGCACTTTTTATGCACGTCAGCAGTGAGCTTCTTGTGCACTTCCTGCCTACATGCCCTCTCATGCACAAAGCCCCAAAAGTGCCTCACAGGTTCCCCACACATTCCCCTCCAGTATGCATGTGTGCTAAGCCGGGACAGGAGGGGAGGTGGTGGGGACAAATAGACATATGAGCTGACAGTTGTGTGCCTGTGGTAGTTTCATTGCTTGGCTGGCTCCTTTCCCAGCAGACACACCCTGTATACTCCCCCTTCCGACAGTGCAGTGTGTGTGTGTGTGTGTGTGTGTGTGGTGGGAGGGTGCTATGAAGTGTGAACTGCAAGTACTATGCTAATAATTCACAGATCTTTTATGATGTGTCTGGAGAGACGGCCCTTCCCCCAAGCCTGGAATAGGGATGCACCAGTGAGTATACTGGCCACTGGCAACTGCCCCATGCCCTACACCCTCTGCCCATACCAAAGCCTTGTCCCGGCCCCTCCTGGTGACCGATCACCATCTCTGAGCCTCGGGGAGTGGGGGAAAGCCTGAGGTCTGGGAGCTTCCAGCCTCCCCTGGAAACACTACCCACACCCCAATCCCAATTCATCAAAACATGGCTCCACCCACCCATCCTACTCCTGGATGCTGCTTCCCACCTGCCCATGGCCCCATCACATCTGCCCAGTCAAGCATGCATTACCCATGGGTGCCCCAGGACAATCTCCAAGGAGACCCCACCCACCCATTTGCCCACTCCATCTGGGCCAGGGTGGCCAGACAGTGGGGCTAGGTCCAGCAGTGCTGGCGACACTGGCAGTGTCAGCTGGAAGGAGTCACCACTGCCGGAGCTGCCAGAAAGCTGAGTTCAGACAGCATGCTGCCCCAGACCTGCTGCACACCTGGGGGCTGTGGGACCGGCTACATGCACCATGGCCTGGGCTTCCCCCTGTGTCTGGGCCTGGCGGGGCTGAGGGTCCCACCACAGACCAGATAAAATCCCTTGGTAGGCTGGATCCAACCCAAGGGGTGTATTTTTCGCACCCTTGCTCTAGTGGTAAGTCACAGCTGTGCAGGTGGGGACCATCAGGGAAGGTTTCTAGACTAAAGGTGTCTTCAAACTCCAAGCTAGCACAAACACTGTTCACAGTGTAACATGTAACAAGACCTAAACAGAACCACAAGGTTCTTCAGGCCAGTATTGGTTATGATGGACTGATGTCTTACAGCAGGTGACAGATATGGCAAAGTATAAAGGGCCACTGCAAAGGTATGTATTAGAGTCCACTTCTCAGTGTTTGTGGGAGCATCCAAATATTTGTTTTGTTTACTGCTGGTATTGCAGTAGCAACTAGGGGACTGTCAGTCAACGTTGTTACCTCTCTGAACAGGATCCTCTAGTATCATACACAAATTCTCCTCATACCATATCATGATACCACACATCACATCTTGTCTGATTATCCACAGTTATGTGATTGGGTCCTGGCTGGTGCAAATCAGCACAGCCGCACAGTGGCATAATGAGTGGTGAACAACTGGGACACCAGCTCCAGGTGCTCACTTAGAGGGAATGCATGAATGGCAGCCCCCTCCAGCCTGTCCCCTACTATCACCACTGCCATCCAGAGTGCAGAGATTGGTTCTTATGCTCCTGCAGCTTAATTGAAATAATCAGTTTACCAGTTAAAGATCTGGTCTAGTACTGTATCTATTCAGTATTTATACTCATCCAGAAATACCTGTGGGGGGTTTATTTGAGAGAGTGTGGTTTCAAAAGTGATTCACATTATACAGTGGTATATATGTTCGTATGTGTGTATTTACATTGGGTCCAAATTTCCTGTTAAAAACAGATATATTTGGCAGAACTGATGCCAAGTGTTACTTTGCTGAATGTATTACAGTATAAACCAAAGAAGGCAGGGCAGTAAATACAAATTAACTTTTGAGACATGCCATAACAAATACATTCAAAACTTTATTCAGAATGGTCAGTGTACAACTTTAATATATTGGGCCAAATTTGCAACTGGTATAACTAACATCAGTAGGGTTGTGGAGTTACTCATTTAAACCAATGGTGAAACTGACCCATTCCTCCAGCTTCTTCTTGTAGCAACTCTGTTACTGTCTTTCTAGTTCAGATTTTTTTTTTGTCCTAAATTTCAAAACAGAGAGGACAGCCCTTTGGAAGTTACCTCCCATTACGACATACAGTAATAAGTTACCAACTACGTTTAGTGCCGCTAAAGGTTTAGTTGCGGTAAATATACCAAGGATCTGGGTCTTAATTGGACAGCTAACTGGATACAGTTGTAGTTCTATCCGAACCCCTCTAAAGATATGGAAGGGTAGGAAACACACATAAAAGACCGCCAAGATTAGGATGGCAAGTTTGCGAGCCTTCTGCTTGTAAGAAGTGTGATTGTTGGGCCCTTTATCCAAGGTGTAAATAATTGCAGAGTAACAAAGTGTCACAATGAGCAAAGGCAAGAGGAAGGCAAACACAGTCAGAAGTAGGTTGTACCACCAGCTGGCATTGAGGTTGGTAACATTAGTAAGGTCCATACAAATGGTTCTGTTTTGTTTCTTTTTTGTGGTGATTAGAAAGCCAAGAGGACTAACAGCTCCCAGGGAAATCACCCAGACTACAATGCAGGCCATCATAGCCCATTTCTTCTTGTGAACAAAAATCCAGTTAATTGGATAGAGTACTACAATGTACCGGAAGATGCTGAAGCAACAGAGAAACAGGATACTGCTATACATGTTAAAGTAGAAATTGAACATAATAAACTTGCACATGACATTTCCAAAGATCCAATTATTTCCATTGGCGAAGTAGTGTATCAGGAAAGGAAGAGTAGTTAAGTAGAACAGGTCGGTGATAGCCAAGTTTAACATAATGATGGTGCTGCTTTTCCAGGGCCTCATCTTGAAAAAGTACATGAAGATTACAACAATATTCACTGGGAAACACAGCACAAAAATCATCCCATAAAAAGCAGAGATATAGTATTTCATCAGTAAGAAGTCTTCCTCTGTGCAGTTTATGAAAGAGTTTGCCTGTATTGGCAAAGTGGTAAAATTGGCCAAGTCTTCAGCTGTCATATTCATAGGGGTATCTTCTTAATGCTTTAGAAAAATCAAGTATTTATTTTTTAATTGCTTAGTCAATACAAATGTGCTCAATACCTCTTTTTCCATTCTCACTGCAATCTGTGAAGGTAGTGTATTTTTAGCTATACCATTATGGTAGATACTCGTAGTTGCTATGCCTTCTTCAGACTACATGAGTATGAGTAATTGGGAAAAGACAGAAAAGACAATTTTCACCCAATCTGACCACAGAAAGCAGTTTATAGCTGTGACCAAACACAAATGCATGGCTGCAGACAGCTTAAAAAATGGCTAATCGGGTGAAAATCTGACCCTTCATTTCATGATGTATCAGATAAAGACTTTCAAAATGGAGTGTCTTTTGTAACTTGTGTCTACAGAGCTCCAAGGCTGTCGCTGTTTTTAGAATGGGAAGGGGAAAATTGAGCAGAGGGAGCTCATTCTTGGGGTTTTCAGCCCCTCCGGAGAGTGGAGTGGGTGTACTGAAGCCCCCCCCCGCCAAACTGGGGGGGGAGGGGGGCTCCACTTCACCCACCCCACCTTTCAGCACCAGTGGGAAGCCCCAAGAACGAGCTCCCTCTGCTGCTTTTCCCCCTCCCATTCTGAAAACAGCGAGCACTGGCAGAGAGCCTAGCCATTACTATGGGAACCCGGCTGCAGGCTCCCAGCCCCCAGGGAGATTCCCCTCCCCCTGGAGCCAACAGTGAATGTCTGTTTGGTCTGGGGTAACGCTGCAACTCAGAGCACTTTGCAGAATAGGTACTTAGTTACAGTTGGGAATCGCAATTCTGTCTGCACCCTCGATGTGGTTTTGGCTTGAGTTTTGCAACATCCCTTCAGTTAGACTTAGCTTTTGGCAGGGTGGGGGCGGGGAGGGGGATAATGATCAAATTTGGATCTTATTTGAACCCTCAGTGTTTGAGTTTTTTAAATTGGGGCTTATCCTAATTTAAAGAGAGATGGGAAACCAAGCATATACATTTTGTTTTGCCAAGCTAAATACAGAAAAAGTTCAGGTATGAATCTCATGAGGTGATTCTCATCTTACTTGCATATAGGATTGATTCCATTACTCACTTTATATGAATTGAAAGTATATGGTGGGTCAAATTCTGGAATTGCCTTACACTTTTCATAATCATTTCCATCCCTCCAGACTGCAAAACATCACCTTCTGTATTTGTGTTCTATATGTACGTTCAACTCTAGCAGATTCATTCCAAGATCTTCAATTGTGGGAAATCAGTATTATTTCACTGAATTTAATTTATACTAGCTAGGAATATATCTTTAATGACTACACAAAGTGCAAGACAGTATATAATTAGATCCAAATATATTTGTTTTTCATATATTTTATGTTCTTTTAAAATAAACTCAGCATGGCATTGAATGTCTGTGATAGGGTCCCTTTTTAATAATAAAGCAGTTATAGTGATACAGATAGAATAAGGTAATTACATTTTTTAAAAGGTGGTTTTATAATTTATACATGGCATTATTCCTTTAGATTTGAAGTGCCATTTAGCCTATTATCAGTGCAACAATTCCTATATTTCAATGACCAATAAACTATGATAGCCCTTCTCTCAAATGGGTGATAATTAAATTTGCACCATAAGACCAACAATATGATGTTAACTAAACCGAGACTTAACAGACTTTGGTTAGGCACTGGAACTGTGTTATAAAGCATTACTTTAATTTAAAATGAGGCATTTTTAAAAATTAATGTTAGTTTCATTACAGTAGTGCTCAAGCCAAAGGAACATTAAGTGAATACCAGGCAGTTTATTTTAACCAAATTAAGATTTGTAGCCAAAGCAAAAGCTAGTGAGAGTCTACATACTCTCTATTTCACCCAGGGCATTCTTACCCCTATAATCCATATTGCTTTGTCTCCTATCAGTAATCTACAATAAAAGCAAATAAAATACAATTTCCAGAATTCTTATTCGATCCCAATACAGTTATTTGTATTTTGTTATTTACAGGTTTTTTTTGTTTTTAAAAAAACCCCTCCGATGAGTTCCATGCATTCTCCTTCAACATCTCAAACTCTAGGAGTGGAGAAATATCGCTTACCTGGAAATTCTTTGTAATCTTGCCCTTTCCTTGATTTGAATACAGAATACTATGGATTTAGGCAGATTTTAGTTTGGTTTGCTGTCATTTATAATCAGTCTACCTATGCAGAGTAAGATTTCACATACCGGATAGATTAGAAGACTGGTGGAAGAGCTCTGTTATGGGTTTATAGTTCAGCTCCTAGACCTGCCCTGTTGTGAGAATTCTCTCTCTTTCCTCTTGTCACCTTGTTTGCTGTTCCTTAAGAGGGCAGGTACTGTCACAGACATCTCCCTTCTAGGAGCAGTCTTATATATTGAAAGTGGAATATTACATTTAAATATGTCTCTGCATAGGAAAATTAAGCTCTTCTTCATTTCCTGTAGGTTGATGGTGACTGCTAAGCCATGCAAGACTTGTTGCCATATTCAGGGTCAGGTGCAAATCCATATGACATGCCCTTTCTTCATTAGAATAGAACTTTATTATGAAAAATTGAAAGCTCCCTTCTGCAGTAAGTGGAAATGGCTTTCACCACAGTGTTTTTAAATTGCTGTAAATAAAATATAGATGATCCACATTTATTTGTTACTACCTCAAAATCTTTTCCCTGTGGGCTGTAATTTTCCATGCTTACCTCAAGCCAAGAAAGAATTCTTAAGTCAACTCTACACTTTTTAGGTAGGTGAGCCATGTGAAAAAAGAAACTAGTTAAATAAATAAGGAGGCATGTGCAGTGGCTGAAATGTGAAGCCCCAGACTGAGGCCCTGACCTTGAAGCTGACCTAGACAGGCACATGAATCTTCCTTCACTGAAATGCTGCAGGTTCAGAACTGGAATTACCATTCATTGGCATCTCATTCTTCTGTGCATTAAAAGGACACAGTTCCTTGTCTTTCTTTGCCTTAAGGAAGTTGCTTTGGCTACAGAAAATCATATTGATACTTTGTTTAATTGCACTGGACATTTTTAAGGACAATTCCTTGAATTTTAAAATATTTATAACCTAGGAATGAGTTAAAACAGTGTTTTTTAGTTTATTAATTACAGTATTGAGAAAGAGTGATCTTACTGTGATATGCAATCTAGAGTTCAGTATATGTCAATTAGCAGGAATGGCTACAATTAAAACAATAGCAGCAGGAGTACCTAGCAACTGGTGCATCATCCATTGTTACTAACTGGTGCAAGGCTATTGGCATTGTTTTTTTCATTGACATAGTTTTGCTCCGAAGTGACTCTTCAACATCCAGAGGATCTATTAAAAATCTCAAATTTCTCAGTACTAGTAATCTTGTTGGTCTAATAAAAGATATCATCTCTACTATGAGTCCTGATTGTCAGGACTAGTAAAATACATTGTGGTATGACAGTAGGGAGCTCACCAATTGTTTAAATGGATATTGTCTTATTCCCAAACACTGTACCATTAGATATAACTTGTAAGTGGCTGTAGAGTTATGAGCCCAGAAAAAAGCTAATTACATTTATTGTGTTCATTATTAAATCCATTTCACTTTTGATTACTTCTGTGAAGTATATGAAATGCTTAGACTCACTTTCAACTTCACAAAAACCAAGTCCTTGGAGAATGTTGAGCATTTCTCCTACCTCAGTAGCCACCTTTCTCAAAAAGTAAACAGATGGCAATATTCATCAGTGATGAATCCTGTCTTCAGTGATGATGATATCAAGGCCCAAACCAAATTTCTTGTCTAACTGGCTGTTGTTAACCCCACCTTGTTGTATGGGCATGCAATTTGGACTACATGTTGATAGGGACCTACTTAAACTGTGAAATTGGGCATTGTCTGCAAAATCCACACAATCAAAAAAACCCTGCTAAACATAAAATACTGGCTCCCCAGCAGGAGCCAATGGTCCTCATGGCAGCTGCAGCCTGGCCTCACAGTCTGCTTGGCGAGGCAGCTGCTGGCACAAAGGGAAGAAGCCAAGATGGCAGCCGTGCCCCTGGCCCTCACCACTGATTGACTGAGAAGGCTACCCATCACATGGGCCCAACTCTTTTCACCAATCAGCTATGAGGGGCTGGGCCACATGACAGACAGTGCTCTTGGTGAGAGGAGGGACCACAAGGATCCCTCAGCTGATCAGTGGCGAGGGATGAGCTTGCTGCATAAAAGCCATGAAATCTGTTTCATATGCAGCAAGCAGCCCATAAAAATGCCTTTTACTTGCCGTGACATAGGTAGATCCCTACATATTGGAAACAGCTGAAAGCTATGAAACATTACCATCAGCAATGTCCTTCAAATAGCCTCCAAATCAGTTGGAAGGACAGAAGCAAACACCACCAACATTGAAGCTATGTTTATATGGCACCAGATCTGTTGGACATGACATGTCATAAGGATGCCTGAGAGCTGGTTCCCAAAAGAAATCCTATATTCCCAACTCACCAATGGTTACCACTCTAGACGTGGCCAAAAGAAGAGATACCAGGACACCTTGAAGGCCAGTCTGAAAGAATGCAATATTAACATCAATATCTCAGAGACATGAGCACTGAATCATCCCCAATGACCCTGATGGATGACAAGGAATCAATCATTTCAAGCAAACTTGCCTCACTATGAAGGCATATAGACAAGGGAGACAAAAGGAAAGAGCTGTGACCCAACATCACTAGGATCTACTCCTTTCTTACAGAACTATTTGCCATGTCTGCAGTAGAACATGCAGATCTTGGATAGGCCTCTTCAGTCATCTATAGACTCACTGGGTTCATCTACATGACACGCTTTATTATGCAGTAGCATAGCTTACTGTGCATACTTTACTGTGCAGTAAGTGTACATATCTACACGTACACACACTTACTGTACAGTAAACCGTGATACTCACAAGTAAATTTGCTACCTGCAAATGCCCCAGCCCCTACCTCTAGCCCCAGCCCCTTCCCCTTGCC